CTTATCCACCGAGTGGTCCAGCCATCAAACAAAAAAAAAAATCTATATGTTGCTGCTACCTCTTGAATTTCAGATTCAGATGTCACCTTTGTGAATTAATTACCTCATTTGTAAGGGTGGAGGACAGAGACGAAGATCAATGTTGTTCTTGGCTGCAACTTTTTGAGCGGACGTACACGCCAAATACAGAAGCCAAAATTTGACCCCTATAGTTTAAAAAAAAGGAACCACATGAGCACGTGCTGTTTAATCAGAGGATAAACATGCCTACAGGAACATCTGCTCCCTCCTATTTATCCATCCTCGTAAATAAATGAGCATGGGAAGAATCTATATCCAAATTATGAGAAAATAAATTCCAAGAATCTGATTACCAACAAGCTAAGGGGAGGTTAAGGTCTGGAAAAGTCCTGTGTTATTTATTTTGATGTTTGGGGGTTTTTTTCATTAGCATTTTGGTTGTATTTCAGGAATGTGTCACTTCTGTGACAAACTGTTTGTGCGACATTAGCACGAGAACTTAAAGCATTCTTTTGTCCCTGGAGCTGGGACATTCTGTAAGCAATTTCCTCCATGCACCAAAGACTTTCAACTCTCAATAAATTGGAATCTTACTGGTTCTCCAATGTCATCTTCCTGCTTCTTGCACTGAAATTAGGGCATTTAAACTCCCGAGGCTTTACATTTGACTGTTTCAAGGCTTGGTCAGGCTGAAGTTTGAGTTTTGAAAGTCAAATCCTCCTGTTTGCCCATGATTTTTTTTTTTTTTTCCTAAATTGTACAGACAAAATAGGAAGAGATTTGTATTGGACAATCACATATTAATTATGTGGTTATAATAATGAAGGTAAAGTACAGCAATCCAGCATAGCTGGCTTTCCCCCCCTCCAAAAAAAAAGAAACACTAAGATGGTTTCAAGATAGAAATGAACAGACTCTTAAAATTAACACCAAGATTTTGCTTTCAGAAGAGCTCGCTGAAGTAAAATTAATTTATCATGTTCTTTTTTATGGTTCCTCAGCCCTAAACCTTTTCCTCAGACCTTATCTTAATTTTTTTCTACACTGATGCAAATTCAGCTGTTTTGAGTTGGGTCACCAACCTGAGTTTAAAACTCCTAGTCAAGATTATGGAACCATAGACTGGTTTGGGTTGGAAGGGACCTTAAAGCTCATCCAGTTCCAACCCCCCTGCCAGCAGCAGGGACACCTTCCACTAGACCAGGTTGCTCAAAGCCTCATCCAACCTGGCCTTCAACACTTCCAGGGAGGAGCAACCACAGCTTCTCTGGGCAACCTGGGACACTGTCTCACCACCCTCACACCAAAGAATTTCATCCTGATGTCTAATCTAAACCTCCCCTCTTCCAGTTTGAAGCCATTAAGCCACTCATGAGATGAGTTGACCCAGCTCAGTGTGCCTTTACTCGGGGACACACACCCCAGTGCAAAAGTCCCTTGTGGAAACGAGACCCAAGTCAAAGCTCTCGTTTGTCTTTTAGCTGGATCAGTGCAACATTCTGATGGTTTGTTTGTTGCTTTATTTTCCAGTGTTCCCAGTGTAGGCCAAAAAACCATTTTTCACTCGCCAACATGAGCTCTTTCCCACAATCATGTCATCAAGGCCACATGAACAGTAGCCACCAGGGGATGGTTCAGAGGTGTTTAACTAATGATACTAGGCTGGGAAGATGATTTTTTCAAAGAACAAAAAAGTTTCCTTGGTTTTGAGGTGTGGTCAGTCCTGGCTGAGAGGAGTTTCAGGGTACGGCCCTCGTCTCTCGTAGGCAGTTGTGTTCATTCTGGAGTTTGGGTCTTTCTTGGGCTCAGATACAGCAAAGGGATTTTTTTTTTTTCTTTCAATCTTTTCAGCTTTCTGCTCGAGGCCACTTGTCCCTGTGGCCTGCATTTGCATCCAGGCAGACCATCCTGGGGAATCACAGACCCTGCAGCATCCCAGAGGAGACGCAGTCTAGGTAAGCTCAGCCAGTACTACTGGTTAAGTCACCAGGGTTGCTGGAAGCAGTTTTTCACAGGTTTGGGTTGGAAGGGACCTTAAAGCTCATCCAGTTCCAACCCCCCTGCCAGCAGCAGGGACACCTTCCACTAGACCAGGTTGCTCAAAGCCTCATCCAGCCTGGCCACAAACACTTCCAGGGAGGAGCAGCCACAGCTTCTCTGAGCAACCTAGGTTTGAAAATTAAGACCTTACAGAGCAGAACGTTTTCCAGTATGGGTGAGAACAATGATGTTGTGTTACCCTTAGCAGGACAGAGAAGACGTTGTTGGCTCTGACTGGTAGCTCTATAGGAGATGTCAAGTCATGCTTAGTATAAAGGTCACCATAAAATGCTATCATTTAATGATTCATTGACCAACATTACACAGGATCCTGTCAAGGCCCTGAGTGCACCAACAGGCTCTGCAAGCTCTTCTCCAGTCCTTGGCACTTGGGTTCCTGGGCTCAAGACCAGTTCTTATATGGAACAGCTGGGTAACCTGGGAACCAAGTGCTGTAAACAGAGCGGCGTGAGAAAGAGGTGTGGGAAGCCTTCACTCAGGCTCACTCACCTTTGGTTCTTGCTGGAGCTGTGGCGTAGCCATGTCTATCTTGTACCTCACTGACTTGGCATCCCAACCTGACACCATGACCCTGGCTGCCATCAAGGGACCTGCTGTTCTTGTTCAAGTCCTGTGGCACTGTGCCCTGCTAGGCAGGTCACTGTCCCTGGTTGCCTTGCTGTCACCATCACCTTGAGCACAAGCACCCAAACCCCCGGGGGTAGGGAAGAGGTTGCAGGACCTGTTGGTGCACTCAGAGCTCTGACAGACTGCAGGACACAGATGTGGATGATATAGAATCGTTTGGTTGGAAAAGGCCTTTGAGATCATCAAGTCCAACCGTACCTGTCCACTACTAAATCATATCATAATAAGGATAGTTGGGCTTTTTGTTTTTAATTCTAGCTGATTTTAATATGAAATATTAAACATTATATCATTCAGCAAAGGGACATTTAACCTAGAACCTCCTGAGGAACACAGAACCTCAGGAGATGTAGTACATCATCAGTTCTCTTTTCTCAACCCATTTCATGTAACGTAATTAGCATTTATTCTTTTCTACCACACAGAGCCCACTCACCTGGCTTTTTATAACAAAAACCACTCTGAAGTTCTTAAACTGAAGAGCAGTAATAGCAGGATGTCTTGGATAGCCTCCTGCTCCATCAGGAAATTTTAAATCATCCGTTGTACGATTTGAGAGAATATATAGGTACTACAGTAAAAAAAAAAAGTCCTGCTGTGAAGCAATGGGCAGTAGGAAGAAAATCAAAACCCCTGAGCTGATTTATTACGAGTTCATTCTTATACCTATGACACACATAAGTCCACGTGTCCATTCTTTTCCTGTGTCTCTGCAGCAATAAACAGGCCCTTCTCACCATTCCAAAGCCACTCTACTTGGAGCAACTCGAGTCCTACTTAAGGGAAGAGCTGCAGTCTCTTGATCTGACTAAAAAGAACTCCCAGGAACTGAAGTTACAGGTCTGATACAAAGTTCTCTTGACTGGAAACTAAGTGCTGAGATGGATTATTTAAATTTGCCATCCAAAGGAGAAAGTAGCTGAGAGGAGCAGGCACCTATGGGTAGTATTGGATAGGTGGGTCTGCAGCTCACATGAGAGAACTTGCACAGAAGCAGTTTATTTGTATGTTGCGTTGCTGCTGTCTGCATGATGTTGGGTTGTCACATCATCTTGTGTACTCCACATCTTCTATAACAGTTGCCATTTTCAAATCAAAGCCCAAATCTTCACAAAGCCCTGGTACTCCAGAGTGGCTACAGAACAGAAGGTACACACTGAACTCCTGAAGGTTCCTGCCTAGACCCATAGAGCAGCAAGTGTGTAGGTTCCCAGATTTCCACTGCAAAACCTCTCCTTCCTGAAGTTAGGTTTCTGCATGTGACAAGAAGTGGCTTTGTCCTCTAGCTTCTTGCCTGAGCCTAATCAGGATCCCCCAGATTCTTAATTTCTCATGGGTCTGATCCTGGGGTGTTTGTTGTGAGTGTTTGAGGACACACCTCATGGAGACACTGAGAACCACCACTGTCATTTAAAGCACAGATGGAGCAGGAGTGGGTACTCCTGGTTTTGTAATATCCTGCAATTTGAGCATTTATGCAGACCATGGGAAATTTGGATTTTATTTTCTTTGCGCTCATTAATTCAAATTCTCATTCCCAAAGGAATCCTGTAGTGATGGGGAAAGTGGCAGATGGAAGAGAATGGAGGGAAACAATGAGTGACTAATGGCAAGAGAAAATAGAGGTTTCAGAAATGTTTCTGCTTTGAAAATACTTTTTACTGTCTTACATGACATGCTTTATTCTATTTAACAGTGAGGTACCCTCAGTGAGAACATTCCTTATTGCTAGTGAAGTCTTCCCATGGCCCAGATACACCACGGGAGTCTGGCTGTCCTCTCTGAACAAGAGGATAAACAGTATCTCCTCTCTGCAGAGGATATTCTGCAGAGACTCTCGCTGCTCTGCAGAGCTTGCCGTTTAACTCAACAAAACAGGCCAGAAAAGCAGCAAGATGATCTCTTTTACGTATCCTTAATGTTCTGTCCTTGTTGTAACTGCGTTCTAGTCAGCTCCACCTGAACAGTGTCACATTTTGGCTCTGATAGACTTGTTCAAAGCTTTGCTTTGGCCACTAAAATCTTTGCTCTGCATCATGCTGCGGTGCCTATAAACAGGGGAGAGAACTCCACCTTCAGAGGAGGTATTTGGGATGGAAGAGCAGAGATGGAGAGACAAAATACATCATGGTAGCAGGATTTTTATACCTGTTCTCAATCATCAGATGCCATTTATGTTGGACAAAACAGCCATCTCTGATTTCTGAAAAATGTGCCACTGAATGTTTTCTCCAGCTTGTTTTCTTCTCTCAGCCCTACAGAGAGGTCTTTGAATTCCTCATAGACATCTTCAAGACCTACAAGCCCTTACTGTCAGCTATAAAGAAGGAGTATGAAGCTACTTTGGGTAAGCTCTTGGACTTTGACCTGTGGGGAATAAATGCTACCAACGGAGACGTTCTGACAGAGCTTTGCTGTGTTGGGTTCATGCCCAGGATGAACAGCCTAAATAGGTGTCGACTGGTAAATCCATCTTTCTGGTCTGTTTGGTTTATTTCCTTCAGACAAGAGATGATGGTTTTGGAGGGGTTTTTTTAGATTTAGATTTAAGATTTTTAGCTTTTCATTACAGACACGGTTCAGGCAGCGTCTCAGGGTTTTTCTGGACAATCACGGAGTGTATCACACTCATATATTTGGGTGCACTTGCTCTGGTCACTTGAAGCTTGAACGAGTCCCGCAGCACGGCAGGACAGAGAGCTGAACTGGCTCTTCCCTGGTCACTCTTAGTGTCCTTTAAACTTTACTTGGCACGCAGATGCCACAGTGATACCAGTACTTTGTAAACAATCACAGAGGGCTAGAAATAGACTGTAACCAGGAGCTCATTTCACACTGGACACTGAGCAGCTGTCAAATGTCAACAGTTTTCTCCTGGGACAGTCTCTTAAAGGATATATATTATTTATCCCAGTAGCTGTTACCTGGGCTACCTAATCATAGTCTCTCATTAGAGACAAAAAACACTTTCTTTGCACAGTATCCTTCAACCAGGTGAACAGGTCAATTGTAATCATCGTAGAAAAACATATTTTTAAAATCAGTTTCCTCCCAGAACTCTTTAGTAGACACCTCTCTGCTTCAGCTCCCGGAGAGATCACTGGTGTCCATGCTGTAGCCTACATTGTACTGCTTTCTGAAGCTTTTTTTTTTTTTAAGCATTTATTTACTGACTTCTCCATACTGCTTGGATGTGATATTTCCCTTTTTTTTCTTTGAAGTCTCTGACTACCCAGCAAAACATATCCTTTGTCGTAGCTTTATGTTTGGAAATCAACTGAAAGCCAGTGAACCAATTGTGGTGGTTTCACTTGGCGAGCACTTGGCAATCAGCCCAGCACAGCCACTCGCTCACTGCCCCCCACCCAGGGGACAGGGCAGAGAGCTAGGGGCACAGGTAAGGAGAGTCGTAGGTTGAGATAAGAACAATTTAATAATTGAAATAAAATAATGATATTGAAATAATGGTGATAATAATAATAATAATAGTAATAAAATATACAAATTAGTGATACACAGTGCAATTGCTCAGCACCCGCTGTCTGTCCCAGCTAAAAACCAGGACACCCCTATGCCAGGGTAGCAGGTGTACTTGAAACTCTAAGAATAAAACAAATGGAGTATTTTTTAAATGTTTTAAGTTGGGATTGGGATCCTCCCACCTTTCTGTATATTGAGGACAGACTAATTTTCCTAATTACATTGCTAATGAGGGCTGCATGGCATCCATCCTCTTTTAGCTCAGGCTAGTGGATGGGATTATCAGTAAGTGATTTCCAGGCCTCCTCCTCCCTGCCTAGCACAGACATCAGCTTACCTGCCTGGCCAAGGAACCAGTGATCTCATCCAGCCCAACAACTCCTGGCCACGCAAACAAGAAGGTCCCACTTCCCCAGCCCCGATGGTGCCTTCCCACTGCTTCAGCTGCACCAGCTCTGCCACTCACTGGGCACCTCCAGGAGCTGAGTCAACTCACCCAGCAGGAAAAACAGAGACCAAGAGCTGCAAAGTTTCCTCCTGCTTTAGTGAGTTGAATTGCTCAAGGAAGTGTCTGTGCTGGGGAAGAGACAAAAGCAAATGTCTGAGAGCAGAAAGAGTACAAAAGAGAGAAAAGGAAGGAAATATTTGTAAAACTGCACTCCTAAGTTTTTATCTTTATTGTGAAATTATTTCTGACTGTGCTTAACAAAAATAACTTTAAAATCTGGGAGAGGTGGCCATTCTGAGGGTTCCAAACATCAGAATTTTAGGGATTAGGCACTGTTTCTAGTGCCTCCCTACAGTGCTTGGAGCCTTAAGGTGGAAGTTTGGAGCTGACAAATGGGACAGTTTGCTTAGAGAGATGTCTCATCACTCCACCTAACATACATAGTCTAGCTGTAGCATCTCAGCTCCTTTTGAAACGGAAACTAAAACTCCTTCACACCACAGCATTGTATTTCTTGGCCAACTGGCAATTACCTTTGTAGTCTGGTTTAGCAGCTTTGTCTCACTCTGTTTTTTCTGCCCAAGTCATATCTTCTGTATAAGCTCAGCCTATATGACATTTAAGGTGCTCACCACTGCACCCACTGCTGAGGCAGGCTCTCCCCTTAAATCTACTCGTATTACAACATATTCCCAGTTCAGTCAGAATAATCTGGTTTTAAAATTAAAAAAAATATATATTATTAAATGTTGTTCTAAAACTGTCCTGCTTACACTATATGTTTAGCTGTATCATTTTGGCAGCACGAGGTTTGCGGTAGTCAGCACGTGCAAAGCAGAGCACACAGACCAGAGAAGGCAGCAGCCTCTGATGTGAACAGGGACGTGCAGCCTGTACTGCTGGCTTGCAACTAATTGTCTTCTGCTAGAACTGGACATACAGCTGTAGCTCCTTTGAGCGTTAATCGTAAAATCATCATGGACTGGTTTGGGTGGGAAGGGACCTTTCCAGCTCATCCGGTCCAACCCCCCTGCAGTGACAGGGACATCTTCAACCAGATCAGGTTGCTCAGAGCCCCGTCCAACCTGGCCTGGAATGTTTCCTGGGATGGGGCTTCTCCCACCTCTCTGGGTGACCTGGGCCAGGGTTTCACCACCCTCAGTGTAAAACATTTCTTCCTTCCATCTGGTCTAAATCTTCCATCTTTTAGTTTCAAACCATCACCCCTTGTCCTATCAAGCTTGTGCTCAGCCAGCACTGAGGCTTTAAGGCATCGTTTCTGGAGTAAATCCACACCAATGTGAAGTTACAAAACAGAATTTGGAAAACAGCACCAGGGAGGAGAGAGCCATTAAATCCCTACAGCTGCTACCTTGGTCTGAGCTAAAGGTTCCGTTGCTGGGAGCTGCTCTAAGACAAAGCTGAATGACAGGGTAGGTCTTCACTTCACAGTGATGTTATCCACAGCTGAATCCATTTCTTGATTAAAATAATACTCAGGTGGCTACATCTGCAGGGCCTTCACATTGACTCCTTTGTCAGGCTAAGAACTCTGGGTCCATCCAGCAATTCTGCACGTGCAATGAGCTGCACCACAGCTTTCCAAGTGGAAGAATGTCCTTTCTTGGCATGAGGAGGGCTATGAGAGGTCATCAGAGAGCTCCTGTTCTCGGATGGCACTGGCCAGTGTCCACACCCCAAAATAATCACCGTGGCAGCTGAGGAGTTGTGCTTCAACTTGTGACGTACTATCGGCTGCAATTAAAAATACTGTTGCATGTAATGTAAAGGGGTTTGTTTGTGCTCAGGAGTCAGTTGTGACACAAACTACGCCTCGAAACAAGTTTGTTGAACAAGGTTTATCATGGTCGCACTGAGCAGCCAAAGAGTCCAGTGCAGAACTGCTGTGCTGACGCTCTGATTTTGGCACCTCTTGTCCTGATACAAGTATCATAGTGAAAGAGTTTTGCAAAACCTTTGGTACAGTTGTAGCGTGGGAAGGAAATTCACACCCAAGTGTAACAAGAAAAGTAGTTCCTGTTCTTAGAATCGTGTATGCGTTTTAACTTTTAAAATGCAAAATCTGTTGCATGCTATTTGCACATAAATACTAATACCGGGTTTTACCGAGGAGGGAAAAAACCTCCAAGTCAGATTATTCAGCATCCACCAGCATTTCTGTTCTTCTGTTCAGGAGAGTGAGTGAACAGGGGTTTTTTGCTGAATAATGCAGTTGTTCACAAACAAAATGAGGCTTGCTCACAGCCTCATTTCACTCACACCATGTCCTGCCTTTGATTATTTTGGAATTATGGTGGAATTCCATCTAGTTATAAAACCAAACCTCTGCACCAGGGAGATGGCATCAGACGAAATCCTACCATGTAACTGTAAGTAGGATGTGGGACCCAAGTCAAGTACTGTCACTAGGTTCCTCAGGTAAATATCTTTAAGAGAAATTTTCAAGGTAAAGGGAAAATAACTGAGAGTGAAAAGCAGATGTTACAGCAGAGAAAGCCAAGAAGAGACGTGAGTTCTTTACTATGTGTACTGTAGAGAAGGGCAAAAGAAGAGAGGTCAGGACATACCTAAAAAGAGGGGAGATTGGGTAGACAATAAATTTGTATATAAAAGGTTGCATGAGATCATACATTTGGAGACAAGAAAGCAGATGGAGTTCATGAAGAAGGTGCCTTCACAAAAAAAGGGTAAATCACCGATTACCAGCTGTCTTTAGCCCCGTATGTGCTTAGATGGTGACACGTTCCCACCTAGTGAAACATGATGAAGCCATCAGTGTTCATTATGTCTTACCAAAACCTTAAATACTCAAGAAGACAAAAATAAAATACTGTTCATCCTTTGTTTTCCAACCCAGGATAAAGAGCATGAGCTGAAATCAGAAACCTTTATGCAGTTCATATGTACAGCTGGTTCAATGACAGGATCATCCCAAAAGATATTTCTCCCAGTCCTTAGACACCCACCAGGCCAAGCAGTAAAAGCTCCATGTTCAGTCTCACTTCCCACCAGCACTGTTTTGAGGTTGAATATGCAACAGCCCAGCCGAGTAAAATGCAGAATTTTTTGCTCATTGTGAGACCCACCCTCTGCTTTCTTTAGCTCATCAGAAGACACAAATTCGTGCCCTGGAGCCCCTGAAAGCTAGGGTCGCAATCGTGTCCGAGGAGTGCACCCAGCAGATACTGGCCCTGCAGGAAAAGCACAGGCATGAAATAAATATGTTAAAGCAAGAGAAACAACATTTATTAAAGACCATTGACAACATGAGGGAAGAAAATAATTCTCTTCAGACTCAGGTAAATTAGACAAGGATGAGTCAAACATTTCCCAACGGCAGCTGGATGTGTTTTATACATCTGATCTCTTACCTCCCAGCCTCTCGCCCTTTGATGCCAGTGGAAGTTC